ATTCTTTCAAAGTTACAAACCATGAAAAAGATGAAAACTGGTACGAGCCACCTTAAGAACTATGCGCGCGCAACTTCCTCGATCTATTCTTTCTTAACGATGCAACACAACTTATGTAGATACACAAGATACACTAGATATAAAACAGAATTCCTTCAGAAGTTGAAACTCATCCAAGTTAGTTCTAAAGGAAACAAGGAGGCTGGATAACGATAAAACAGAACTGAAAAAAAAATTGCCATACTATCAATACTTCCTCAGAGCCGTTTACATTTTTGCATACGTTTAGCAGTTTATCATATGACCCTTTGATACAACCTGGATGAAGCTTGTTCATTGATATAGTTACATAACTTATCACATCACCAGGCGTAAGGGGTCACTTAACAATAAAAATACAATAAATTTTTAATTACGTTTAAGATGAATCGAGTGTTTCGGACCTTGCTAATCTAAGTCAGAATTACCGGTACTTAAGTATGCGGTCTATTCCTTTGAAGGGTTCATGCCCTGTGTTTACAGTCCATCAAGATGATTCTTTTATAAAAAGGTAACAAAGAAAATGCATATAAATTATGGAGTCAATATTATAGATAGTAGATAAAGAGCTGTAGTGAGAGTTTGTGTGTTTTTTTTTCTCCTTCTAAATTCAATCTAAATCTCATCATTCGCTTATTCTTGATGCAATACAGCTTGTTGTTAATCATTTATTACAGTTTGCTTGAGGCGTGATCTCTCTCCAAACTTTGCCTGTTCTCTCCCAAGTCACACCTTCATTGACCGGAAATTGCGTCAAAATCTTAATTACTCGTTGAAGCTAAACTTTCACTTTCGTGGCGTCCTCATCAGTCCAAAGCATTGAACGATGAATGCGGAAAAGGTGTACGTACTGATAGTTCTTGGAGTTGATTTGTTACTGTTGAGAACAGGTAAGTGTGAAATGTATCGTTGATAATGCTAAGATTTATCAATTATCATAATCACGTACTTGCTGGCTCTAAAAAATGTCGGGTTTTACGTATTATCTGGTTATCCTCAGTAGTTCCATTTCATTACTGATTTATACTGAACGTCAAACCAACCTAGCCCTTTATTTTCAAACTGAATCAAGAGAGGATGAATTCTTTAAAAATAGTAATAATAATAAAAAAAAGAGAAAAAATATGGGATAGAATGCATTTTGATCTGACATCAAAGATTTTACAAGACTTGAAGGCCGTGCCATGGACGAGGATGTCATAATTTACACTGAGATAGAGTGCTAGTTTACATGTTTAAATCGATAGTTGACGATCAGATTTACACGTACTGTATGATTTTGATGTAATAATCATGTTAAATAATCCAACATCATCCACTAGCTTCCATCCAGTTGTAGCTATAAAGCTGTTTGCCTTGTTTACGTCGCGTCAGCAAGCTGATCGTAAATCGAGAAAACGATTATAATATATGGTGTGACCAACTGAAGTCATGGTAAATTGAGCATGCAATGTGTAACGCAACCAAGGCATGTTGGATAGGAAATAAATAGTAACTTTTTACATTTTTCACTGTTTGCAGTATATTAAACTGCTTGCTCATTCAAGTGAACACCAAGTACTAAAAAAAAACGATACGAGAAAGTTTGAGATAATCTGGCTTAAAGCCCCCGTCTTTTTTCCGGATGTAGGACTGTGGGTTAATTTGAAGGAGGTCGAAATATGTTCGCCATTCCCCAGCTCTTCCTTCTATGTAAATAAGGTCGGCTTCAAATTGAGGCCGCCGCTTCGAAATTTCTCCATTTTACTGGCAACTTATAATAAACAAAGAAACAAAGATAAGCAATTGAATGAGAATTACTATCCATTGTCATAACTATATGGCTAATATTAGCCTGCCGCCATTACCCAACTGTTTCTTCTGCGTAAAAAAGGTCCGCTTCATATTGGAGCCGCCTCTTCGAAACTTTTCCGTATTGCCCACAATTAACTTAGATAAACAAAGAAACAAAAATAAGCGAATAAATCAAAATTACTATCCTTTGTGAAAAATCTATGATTAATAACAGCCGGCCATTAATGTGATGTCGACGGTTGTGATAATGATGATAAGGGGGAGAAGGAGATAAACGAGGGGAGTGATGATACTGATGATAACGACTGCCTCCAAGAAATATCAAAGTTGATTTTCGGCAAGTAACAGGTAACCCAATAAACAATTCACTCAGACACACACAGACACACTTCACGGCCATTAATTATTAGTCTAACTTCTATGTAATTGTATTACTATAGATGGCGAGAGGCTATGTTCGTGTTATACCTTCAGCAAAGACCAATGGTTATGGACACAGGCAAGGGACAACTGTAAACGCAACAATAAAATACTCGCAGTGATAGAATCAGTGCAGGAATGGCAATTTATTACAAATGGGATTCAAAATAAAACAGGCACCATATCTGGTGAATGGTACATTGGTTTGAAAAAAAATTTAACAACGCAGAGATGGAATTGGATCAATGGTAAACCTTTGACCATTGACAAATGGCATGATAAAGGCATAAATCCTGACCCAAAGGACTCTTACGGGATAATTCATGAGGATTATCCACCTGGATTCAAAGGATCACTCAGCACCGTTAAGGGCGACCAACCAAGAGGATGGATTTGCGAGAATGAAACAGGTATTGATCAGTAACAGAAAACGTAAAATTTTAGCTGCATTAAAAGTTGCTGTTATTTACAAGTCTGAATTTTCCATAGGCTACTCTCACCCTCCCTTCTCTGTTCCTTATCTTTCCTATCCCCACCCTGCTCTTTCCGAAGGCCTCCTCATGATTGCGACCACCTTACTGACTGATAGCTAATCACCATCAGGGGAGCAAACCCCGTAGTCCTACCTTTATATACTCTTTAATGTGTTCTAGATTATAGGGACGTGGCATAGAAAATTTATCGCCGACTAGAGTTATTGAGTTAGCCACACTTCCTTGTAATCGGGATATTACTCAACCCGTGTACAGTGGCAATGACAATAGTTATATTGCTTTAACAGCTACCTGTAAAGGAATTTGTTTCCACCATCCAGTTCCAACTAGCACAAGTATTGGCGGAACATCAACTTGGACAAAAGCTGTTACCACACAAGGCAAGACGTCAACTGAACAGGATATCACTGCTGTATCACGTAAGATCATCGATTGATCGATTGAATTATCGGATTTGCTTGTTTTGTTTTGATTGTTGTTGTTGTTGTTGTTGTTGTTGTTTTGTTTGCCTGCTCGTTAGCTCTTGATAAGAGACAGAAATATGTATATTTATAAACTAACTGTTTTTGTATTTGTACTCCAAAGAACCGTTTAGATAAGTTTTCTTGTATCGCACAAGCGAGGAACTGGATAGAAATTACTGTACGAAAAAAGAGCGGACAATTTAAATTATTTTTCTGACGACGTAGAGTTGGAATGGCTGGCAAATATTGATCCAAGTTTATTAGGTAAATCCAACGAAGAAAAGGAGATGAACAACGATGAAATTTCATCGTCGTTCATCATTTGTTGAAGAAAATACCGTGCTAATTCCGTTCCGCGCAGCATACTCCTGTTACGCATGCTGAAGTCGTGAATGTAATAACTCTCCTAAATGTAATAAAGTCATAAATGTAATAAGACTTGGTCCTAAATGTAATCAAGTCCGAAATGTAAACAAGTCCTAAATGTAATAACATTTGGTCCTAAATGTAATAGGCCTCTAATGCAATAGTTTAACTGTACTTGTGCATCCACATTTTTCCTAATTCAGTTGGTGTTATTACTATTTTAGCTATTACAATTTTAGCTTTTGGTCAAACTCTTTTATTAGGAGCCTCAAGAGATTTTATATTCTTGGCAAGTAACTTTTCACGGAAAAAAATTGCATTTTCTTTTTAGTAATAACGGATAACAGCAAATGGTCTCTTTGCTTCATTTATCGCGACTGGCATATCATTCACAGTTCACGGCTTTTAACTTTTTACAATCACGAGTCACGGCAATTAAAAATAGCCAATCACGTTTCACTGTAAACCCCCACATTTCCATTTAGACATGGAGACGAGACGGACGAGACGAAATTATTTGTCTGACCATTTACTAATGCAGATTTAAAAGACAAAAACCTGGGACTAGTTTTTGAAGAACCATAGCATGAAAACTGAAAACTCTTAACCTTGGGATCCTAAAGAAATTTATGAGAAGACAAATCCGAATTTGCGGAAGCATTGTAGCAGTTGAAAACGAACGATGTAGTTAATTTAATATTACCACTAGTGCTGTTTACTCATTCAGACTTGGAACAATCTAGGTCGTGTGAAAGAACTGAAGCGGAAACTGTTTCCAAACAGAATTTACATAAACTTCAACATTGCCTATATTCAGGGATACAACCCATTAATCGAGAGCAAGTAATACATAGGACATTGTATTTTAGTTTCCCCTTAGCGTCTTCCAAAATATACCACAAGCCGTGGTGGACATTATGTTGGAAGAAATCAAAAGTGATGTCGCAGGAATATTGACAGCTGAAGGCTTTTGAAAAGTCCCGCAGTATATGTACTTTCCTTAGTCTTAAAACTCATTAAATGGTCTTAAATGCAACTCTTTGCCACTACTTTAAGCTAGATGTTGAGAGATATTTCTTCTACGGTGCGAAAAGGTTGCAAAATGTTCTTGTTTTCCGCGATGAGCCATCATCCCGGTATTTGGTGAAGGTATTTGCTTTCTCTTTTCTGTTGTGACTGTTTAAAAGGGAGAAACAAGGGAAATCGATCAGAAAGCGACAACATGTAACGATCTTCCTTGTTCTGCCAAGAAAGATGCATCCAAATGGGGGTTAGTCTTGTTACATACCTACCTTGAAATTTAAGTTTCCTGGCGGCGCGCAATGGGACTGATTGGCGTAATGATTTATACATCGGAAATGCGCCAGTACATCATGGATTTCATCCTGAAACTTGCTCTCAGTGTTAGGAAGGCGACTGAGGCTGTGCTCCAACCGAGTCCTTCTATTGTTCCTTAGAAAGAGTAACTGTAGCATGATGTGCCTTAAGAAGGGAAATTCCCCTTTTGAATTAAGAAAATTCATCGTAGCGGTATTACACAATTTTGTGACGGATACTCTGAAATATGACTTTGAGAACAAACAGACAGAAATTCAGAGAAAAAATTGACTTAAAACCTTTTAATCTCAGCACGGGTTTAAAAATGAGCCGTTTACAAAGCAAATATTTATTTGAAAAGTAAAAACCAAACGTTTTCGACACTAGGTCATCATCGGGGTAAATAAGCACCGTCCGCTAAATTAATGTTCCTGATAGAAAGTAAAGACAGTAGAGTGACAATAACTCTCAAAAAAGAAACGACAACTTTGAGTTTAAATTTAAAAGGCATGTTTCGACATTCTCATGTCATCTTCAGTTGCAAATGAGCATTTAACGGTTGTACATTTCAATTTTTAAGGTGGCTCGTACCAGTTTCCTCGCGCGGGGAACAGGTCACTCCTGCGTGACGTGCGCGAGAGAAACGTGCGAAAGAAACGCGAGATCAAAAGATGAAAATGTATTGTAAGTAGTGTAAGTTAATGTAGTTTAAACATGGTGTAAAAAGTAATTATAGTGTAAGTACNTTGGAGAAGAAAAGGTTGCTTCACTTCACATTTAAAAGAAATATTCAACCGATATAAAATCTTGCGCGGCAAAAAAAGAAGAACTCAAGAGAAGGATAATCTACCTGAAATGGAAGGAGACTTTGACACTTAAAGGAAAATAATATGATATAGCCAGAAGTCGTGTGTAGGATTTTTAAGATCAGCCCGGGAGGCTATCTTTGACAGCTGTTTAATGATTTTCTTAATTAGCAGTAAACGTCTGTAAACATCAGTTCGTATGCGCGCGCGCGAGCACACGCAAATGTCAGCGGTAGCTATAACAGATCATGAGCAAATGTCGATCTTATGGAAACCAGATTTTTAAATCTGCGAGAACGCGCGTGGAAATTGCTAAACTCACGAAAGCTATTGCATAAAAACAAGTCCGGTGACCCCTTCTTTTTATTGTTCCAATATGATAAATAACGTCGATAGGAATCATCAGAAAAACACTAGAAAATTCTACGGAAGGAAATTTGCGATGTCTGAAAATTGCCTTTTTTCTAGATTTTCTGAAATTCCGCTCCGTAGAATTTTTTAAAAATCTTTGTGCATTTTCCTTTTCAAGTGCCAAAAGCAATCACTTAAATAAACTCACGGGGTCACCGGGTTAGTTTTCGAATTATTTAAGCCACAAGCTAATTAATGCGTCTGAATAAGCCTATGAAAGCGTTGCCATGGAAACCGCTAGTGACGAAATGACACCTACTTTTGGATAATCAATGATTATATAATTCAACCCCGTAAAAGTGTCCAACTGGCCTTGGTCAGTTTTCTGTTGTATTTTTTCAAAGTTACAAACCATCAAAAAGACGAAAACCGGTACGAGCCACCTTAAGGTACGTTAAAAATTACGTGTCAGGGCTTGCGTTACATTTGAATATTAAAAACGCGAAAATTGTAAATAGCGCGCGCTTGACTAGATTATCGTTTCTAGACATATTGTTAGAAAACAGTCATACATCCATCGTCACTGGTATACATCGCAAGAAGACGTTTACTGGTCTTCTTACTAATTATTTCAGCTTCGCCCCTTTGATTTACAATTTAGGTTTAGTCAGAACATTTATTGACAGAGCATGTGAGATCAATAATTCCTGGGTTGGTTTTCATCTGGATGTCAAGAAACTTATTTTCTTGCTACGGAAAAATTGTTTTCCATCTTGGGTCATACACAAGATCCTTTACAGGTATCTAGCGAAGAAAAATAATCCTTCTCCTACTGGGCAGAACACGCCTCTTCTAACTCCGGTAAACCTTCTTCGCACTATTTATAAACTTCCCTACGTTGGTCGGTTTTCAAGCATCGCTCAGACTAAGTTAAGACAACTACTCAAACGTTATTGTAGAGCTGATTTAGATGTTAAGTTAGTCTTCAGTACGATTAAACTCAGAAATATGTTTAGTGTGAAAGATTGAGTACCGGTGGGTCTACGTTCGCGTGTCGTGTATAAATTTTCGTGTGCTGGCTGTAATGTCAGTTATATTGGTGAGACCACTCGCCACATTTGTACACGAGTTCGTTAGCACCTCTTGTCGGACAAAACTTCTCATATTTACAAGCACCTGCAATCATCAAGGGCCTGTCTTGACTCTTGTGATACTGAATGTTTCACGATCTTAGATTCTGCCGCTTTAAAATACCAAATTAAGATCAAAGAGGCATTGCATATTAAGTGGGAAAAACCCATTCTTAATCAGCAGTTGAAGCATCTAGAATTGTCTCTTTCCTTTTAATTATGTTGTTCCTTGGACTTTTATTTTATTATTATTATTTTTTTTTCATCTAGTCAAGCGCGCGCTATTTACATTTTTCTGACACGTAATTTGTAACGTACCTTAACTGAATATGAATTTAAATGTACAGCCGTTAAATGCAACTGAAGATGACACGAGAATGTCGAAACATGTCTTGTAAATTTGAACTCAAAGTTGTCGTTTCATTTTTGAAAGTTAATGTTCCTGTTTTGAACGGATGTTTTTCGAGGGTAGGAAAGGTATTTTTCTATCAGTTGAAACTATATATACTATTGAGTATGTAGGATAATTTCAGCGTGAGAAAATTAGCCAAAATTGAAGGAAACGACTATAAACGATATCGAGTTAAGATAGATTTTATCTTTGGCTTAGTCAATGAAGGATTTAATATAAAGCAAAAAGATTTTGCTCTAATAAGAATCAAGAATGATTTGTTCATTTTGAGAATCAAGAAAGAGAGCCAGCTGTGTTTGTAGCACAATAAACCCAAGAGGGTCGTTTAAACTTTTTCTTTGTTTCGACTTTCTAGCCCTTCTACCGCTTTCAGTGACTTCGTCGCAGACATTGTCCAAAAGTTACAATCAACCACACAAGCGAGTAAGTCACTGTGTTTTAGAAGCGCAGAGGCGCATTAATAGTGTAGCTTAAAGCAGTAGGATAAAGTACTTGAATAAGCTTTGCGTTTCAAAAGTCTCCAGATTTTCTTTGCCCTTCTTTTAATTCCTTTTGCAGATTTCGATGAATTTTCTTGTACTTATTTGGCAACAGCGGTTGATTATTGATGTTTTCGTTGAAAATTTTGCGCGGGGAATTTGTGCGCAGCTGGCCAGATTAATCCACTCGCACATGCCCAACGTTTGACCGCTGGTTTCAATTGCTGTGCAGTTATGCTGGACAGTCAGATTGCTCGGCACCTACCGCCCCAGCTGCGTCTTATCATATATTAGTCGCCACCAGGCCCCACACTTACCACTTGAGTTACAAAAAAGAAGAATTGCAGTGTGACATTCGACATCCCTTCTCGCCGCGAATAAGTCGATGTCTACGTCTACAACAAACTAAACATCTACATCGTTGACTATACTTTTTCGGCTTTATTGTCTCACAGAGAGAAAGCCAGCATCCCCACACCAGATTCCTTTGTCCTTTCAAATTCTTATACTTCCACTTTGTTCACCTCTGATGATTTTAACATTCGACGCCCTCGTAATATAGTGCCTTATCACCATGGTCTCAGTTCTTTGACTGATATCCTTTCGCCGGCTCTCCAGTATCGCACGGCAGCTGCACGTATTCAACGAGGTCGAGCAGGGCTTCATAGACGTCGTCTGCCAAAGCAGAGGGTTTCCTGTTCCCTTCGGAGTCTTCACGATCTTTGTGGGCCACAGACCTATCGCGCAATAATGCTTGTAACACTAAAACCAAAACGGCTAAAATATTCAATCTTATGTTAAATCAAAGCACGTGTTAGCGCACTACATTCGATGTAGATCTCAAGGAAAACTTCCGGAAATATTTCACAGGCTAATGAAATGTTTTTCGCACTTATTATTATTTCTATCATCACCAATCAGTTGTTGCTATATGAACTCAAGAATCTTCTCAAAGTCAGTTCAACCAATCTATACAACGTTAATGGGCAAATCTTTTGTGTTACTGCCAGCTAATTTGAAACGGAAAAGTTCGCTCTTTACGAGCATGTCACTCTCATAGTGCCGATTCAGTAGAAGAAAAGTCCGTTTCAGAGTCAGGTTATGCTGTTTTATCTCATGTTTGATCGTTACGGAGATCAGCACGTTGAGCAAACCATGTTTCCCTTTTTTTTCTTTAAATCAATTAGAAGAGCATTAAAAAACGGCTCACACGATTAGCTTTACTCACATCTCAGAGAAAGCAAAAGCACAAATTTGTGCGTGAGATTTGGGGATCGGTACATCATTAACAACCTTTGACATAGATAACCATTTTGAATGTGCTGGTCAGCAGCTTTTTTTCATTTACACCTGTTAAATGTAAGTCACTGAGTATATAATTTGATTGAAAGGCCTACCTAAAATCTCGCTGCAGAAACCAGCCAGGCCGAAAGCGATTAATATAACAACTACTGATCCCGTCCTGATGTTCGACACGAAACGGAAAACGTCTTCGGATTTTTTTTTTTTTTTTCTAAGTTTAGCAGAGTTAGCATATTTAAAGAGATAAAGCTTTCGAGTTTGCAAGCTTTGACCCTCAGGATTTCCCTTTTTAAGTATGAGTAGGCTAAGCGACTTCCTAATTATTACCCCGATTTTTATCATTTTATATTTTTCTCCGACCAGTGTTGCTGACGGACAAGGGTTCCTCGACTTCCACCTTACCACTTGTTACAAATGTCAGTGACCTAAATTGCAAGAGTGACAACGACTACTTCACCCTTTATCTGACAATCGCTATTTTAGCAGGATTGTTGTTTATAATATCGATAATCCTTTTGGGGGTTTTGAGACTGCAACGAAAGAAACAACAACAAACAGGTGCTAATGTTTTATTGACATCTCATTGAAAATTAATTATAGCCCTCTCTTTTATTAGACAATCTAGGAGCAGGCTTGATTACGAAAAAAAAAGTGTGTTTTTTTTTTATTGGGACTCTGATCGGAAGATGATCGTATTTAATTTCATTCAACAGATTCAAGAAATAAAGCTGTTGTAGGGTAAGTAGCTTCTACTAAACTTGTTTTTATTAGACATTTAGTCAGTTGGAAATATGATGTGAGTTTATTGCAAAAAATTTCTATGATTTAGAGAAAGATAATATAAACTGTGTATATTCTCTTGTTCAGAAGTAATACGTTTTCTCCGCGGTATGATTCATTTTTTGTTATTCGATTGGCTTAATTGAGGAGAAGTAAAGACAATAATATCGTAAGGGAAGACAGATAACTTTCCTTTGCTTTTGAATGTGACAGAATCCAAGTAGCTGATAAATCCCCAGAGGTCAGTAGGCAAAAACGCATACGATTTCAAAGTTCTGTGCTATTCCCATATTTATTCACCAGGAAGAATAACTGCGCGAAAAAGGGAGCCACCGGTAAATCTCGGACATCTGACAAATCGACTTTTTGAGTTATTAGAGCAAACAAAGAAAGTAGCAAACAGACATAATGAAAACAAAAAACAAAAAACAAACTAACAAAAAAGAGTAACACAGGTTTTACGGAGGAAAACGTGGAGGTTTTCTTTCCTCCCTCTCCCTCTCACGGAGACTTATTCTCATGAGATAACAAGCTAATGCAACTGTTAAAGACACTTTAAAACGCATGTATCAATATTAGCTATATCTTTTATTTGTTTATTCTCACTCCACAGGAGTCAACATGACTTCGAAGAAAGTTTTCCATTGAATGCTTTTAATTTAGGTGCACAGCATGGCTTTGCGGTGGGAAATGAGAGAAACCAAAATGAACCGTTTGTCCAACGGGAGGGTTTATATACCGAGCTGTGTTCAGAGACAATAATGGTAATTTCAATGATATTAGAATTACCTAATATGATCTTTATCAAAATAATGGACTAACTGATGAGAGTGCGATACTTTCTTTTTAAACTTATTAGCTGTCCTCTTTACTATCAGCATGTGTTTCCTTCCTATCTTCTTACTCTGACGCGCTTTGACTGTGAAGTGCTGACTTAAAACTTTTCTTGTAATTACGTAAGTTTGATGATTTTATCTGTTTAGCATCATCATTTGACTATAGCTGTCCCTTAATGTTCACGGATACCAATCCATGAACAGAACTTTCTCCCTAACTACGAAACGCGCGTTAAAAAGAAACTCAACAGCTTATGTCATTTAAAAAAATTAAAATAAATATAATTCATTAGATTTCATTCATCTTTTTATTTCCTTGTTTTCTTTTATATCTACTTTAAAAATTATCTTCATGAGTATGATTAAGGCTTTTTCGGGATTGACGGGTAAAGGAGTCTCATTTGGAAACAGCCATGATAAGTTTTAGGCGCGGCATCTCACAAACCATCACTAGAAATATAATGAATGAATATCTAATTTTCACTTGGCAACGTGAATAGTTTTGTTATTTTTTTTTTCTCATTCACATTGACGAGTTCTCAATCATGAAACATTTTTTTAAAGGAATCGAAAACACGTATCGATGAACCACGCACGCCTACCAAGTTGATAATACCATCACTTGTCTATCAAATATTATTGTTTATTATCCATCTACACTTAGACGAGTACAATGCTATAGACGAGTCCAAATATCACACGGTATTTGTACTGGTTAAACAGGTTTTCTCGCATCGCGCAAACAAAGAATTGGATTGTAGTTACCAAAAGAAAAAAAAAAATGGCGGACAATTTGAATCACATTTCCAACGATGATGAGTCAGAAGGGTTGGCAAATATAGATCCAGGTTCATTAGGTGAAACGAACGAAGAAACACAGCTTGACGACCAGAAAATTTCTTCATTTATTGAAAAAAAATAGAAACAGCAGCACGTCAACGCGCCAATTCGGCGTTCCGCTTCGCATACTTCTGTCACGCACTCCCCGTAAATAAACATCCGCGAAATTCGCCCGCACTGAAATAACAATTTGGCGTATTGGATAATAAATAACTTATTAGACGTTTTGTTGTGTAGTATCGCTGAGTATTTTTACTCGTTATTTGTATTTTGACTCGCCCTACGGGCTCGTCAAAATACGGCACAACTCGTAAAAATACTCAGCGATACTACACAACAAAACGTCTAATAAGATATATATATTTTGCAGACCTCTGAAGACGATGGTTCCCGAACGTACACTTCCCTTGTGAAATCAACAGAGGAAGACAGCGACATTGAATATGAGAATCAAATATCTGCTCCTGAGTATATTAACGCTTAACTTGATTGTTCATAAGACGGTTAGCCGGCTAATCATCTAAAATGCTGAAGTAAACAAAATATCGCTGGAGTGTGTCTTCTCAAAGCCATAAACGAAAAAACCAACAATTTTTCTCAACAATGGCTTAGTTTAATGGTTTGGGCAACCCTGTCCTTGAACTATGTTCTCTGTAAACGAAATGTAAAATATACTTTTAGCTCATATAAGCAGTCTCCTCTCTGCACGCTCGCCATTAAAATGATAATAAGAGTAATAATGATGATACTAATAATAGCAGTAATAATAACAATGATAATAGTGGTTAATTTGAGAAAAAAAAACTTAAAATACTTCTTTCTAGAAAACGTTTAGTTTATTTATAGTAAATGCAAAACGCTTTAGAACAAGTCTGGCACTATGGGCGAGGGAGCTCGCTTCATAGCGCATGACTCATAACGTTAACACGTCGATACACTTTGACCATGAGTTTCCTTTCTTTTTTTAATTCTAAAAAAGGCTTTTAGTTTAGTTTACTTTATTGAGGTTCGCCAACATATAACACAAAAATATGTGTAAAAAGGTACCTCAAAGGCAGGAGAAAAAAAACGGGGCACGCCCCAATTGACATTTGTTCCCCCCAACAAATTACAACAATAAAATCACATTATTCATAAACAATGTCGGAAATCGTGTGTTTACATAATCAAACCTTTTTAACGCGTTTAAAATTTCGTTGTTTAGTCCACCGGAAAGGGATAGGCATCGAATCTCTCATCATTAGTAACTATAACCAATCAAAGGAAACATTCACCGATTGTATATCCTTTGCAGTAAATGGTTTGAACCCAGGGGTAACATGTGAAGGTGTAGTCTGATCGTCCGGGTGAGCGTAGTCCTGAGAAGGACTGTTGTCGGTGGTAGTGACTGACGTTTCGACAACCTGTGCGGAAGTCATCATCAGAGTCAAGTGAATGATTGTTGTCAGTAGAATGTTCTTATTCCAGTTCGTGTGAAATGATCGGTTGGTTTTGCCGTGATGTTATTGGCTGTAAGACTCAAGTGACGTAAGTCGGTCGTGATTGGTCTGTTTCGATCTGTCGGTAAAGTTAGGTCGTTCTTTTTCGGTCGTTTGTGATGTTTATGTCGTGAATGAGTCGTTTGTATGGAGCGGGTAGTTGTTGACATCTGTTTAGGGGAGTCTGTTCTAAGTTAGTAAACCAGCTTTCCAGAGTCAGTCGTTGAAAATAGTCAGTGCTGTAGGTTAGGCATTGCGCAGAGTCCCAGTCAATGTTGTGGTTGGTAAGTCGATGGTGTTCAGCAATGTGATTGCTGACATCACCTTTCCTCGTCGCCCGTCTGTGTTCAGTCAGTCTTGTTGTGAGGTTTCTGCCAGTCTCACCGATGTAGGAGGCTTGGCAGTCGGAACAATTGATCTTATAAATCGTTCCCTGTCTGTTCCTCGGTTCGTCTTTGTCTTTAACGTTGGTTAGTAACTGACGTAGTGTGGTGATGGGTTTGTGGGCGACGCGGATATTGAAGGGTAGTAAGATGCGCGAGATGTTTTCAGACATGCCTTTTATGTACGGTATGGTTGCTGTAGTCGTAGGGGTTGCGGTGTCGTTTGTTTCGGTAGTGGTAGTGGGTCGGTGAGTGTTTCGTCGGATGAAGTCGTTGTTGTAGTTGTTCTTCGTAAAAACACGGTGAAGGTATTTGTTCTCGTCGGATAAGCTGTCTGTCGAGTCACATACTAGTTGTGCGCGTCGTGTTAGAGTTCTGATAGTTGTGGCTTTGTGTGATGTAGGGTTGTAGGATGACTCGTCTAGTAATCTGTCGGTGTGTGTCGGTTTCCTGTAAACTGTCGTTCGTAATGAGTTGTCGTTGTGGCTTACCAGGCAGTCTAGAAAAGGAAGTTTGCCATTTTCTTCGACTTCTCTGGTAAACTGTATGTCAGTGTTTTGTTCGTTAAGGTGGTTGTGGAATGCGTCAATTTCGTCGTGTCGAACGGCGGTGAATGTGTCGTCAACGTAACGTAACCAAAGCGGTATCGTTTGTCGGCAAGTCGAAAGGGCGCGTTCCTCGATGTTCTGCATCACAATTTCTGCTATAACAACAGAAACTGGAGACCCCATGGCAGTGCCGTGTAACTGTTTGTAGTGTTTACCGTTGTACTGAAAGTAAGTAGACGTTAGGCAAATGTTTAGCAAGTCCATGATGTCGTCTGTCGGTAGCGGTATCGAGGAACAGACAGGGAGCGATTTATAAGATCAATTGTTCCGACTGCCAAGCCTCCTACATCGGTGAGACTGGCAGAAACCTCACAAACGACCGAAAAAGAACGACCTAACTTTACCGACAGATCGAAACAGACCAATCACGACCGACTTACGTCACTTGAGTCTTACAGCCAATAACGTCACGGCAAAACCAACCGATCATTTCACACGAACTGGAATAAGAACATTCTACTGACAACAATCATTCACTTGACTCTGATGATGACTTCCGCACAGGTTGTCGAAACGTCAGTCACTACCACCGACAACAGTCCTTCTCAGGACTACACTCACCCGGACGATCAGACTACACGTTCACATGTATATCCTTTGTTCAAAATACACCACGTGTGTTGTAAAAAAAATAACTCGGCACATTGTGAGAGAAAAATATATCTTTTAAAAAATTATATCGTGAGTGACTGATTTTAGCGCGAGTTTATCGGGAAAACCGCTGTGTTGTCAGGCAATTATCTTATTCCCAACACAAAGTGGCACCTCCGATGGGGCAGGAACAAAAGAAAGGAAAAAAAAAAATCAGATCTGACGCCGGGATTTTACAATGGAGAAACTGCTGGCGGATCTGAACACACAATTACAATTGCTTAACTTCACCAAGGATAAGAGCGAAGGAATCATCGCAAAGGGAAGCGTGGAAGGTGTGGAACGTCAACTTCAGTCTTTGAAGACTATCGTGACGAGAGTGGAGGAATTTAAGCTTCAAATCGAGCAAACAAACATCGCAAACGGAGAGCAACTGGATGACGTGTCATAATGGAGCCTCACAGTTTAGGCCGCGCAAACGTCTGCTGATGAGAACGTCGCGTACTTACGAAAGTGGTTAACAGAATGGAAGTAAAAAGAAAGCCTTACAGAAAAGGAAGGAGAACAAGCCCTTTTAGAGAAATCGAGAAAAGATCAGCTTGAATTTGAACGTGCACAACTGGAGATGAGGCTAACCTATGAGAAGCAAATCGGGGAGACAAAAGGAAACCATGCGAAAACCACAGAACCGAAGTTGACTCAAGCAGCGAAAACCGCAAAACTTCCTAAGCTTGTCATCACAAAGTTTAGAGGCGAGCTAACAGATTTGCCACGGTTCTGGAGTCAGTTTGAAACCGAGATCGACAAGGCAGAAATAGCTGGCGTGACGAAATACTCCTACTTAAAAGAACTTGTAGACCCGAAGATCCGAACGGAAATCGACGGTTTGCCCTTTTTATCAGAGGGACACGAGCGCGCGAAGAACATCCTGTCAAGGAAGTATGGCCAAACAAGCGAGGTCGTTAACGCGTACGTGGAAAACATCATCTCTTTGCCTACAATTGGTTGAACCTAGCCGGCCAAAATCCACGATTTCCAAAAGAAACTTTTTTTCGATGTGCAATCGTTATAAACAATGGGGAAAATGCGAGATTTGAATGGATACGTGCGGATGACTATAGACAAGCTGCCAGGGATAAGAGGAGATCTTGTGCGAACGGACGATTCTTGGCGAGAGTGGAATTTCCCAAAGTTAGTGGGTGAACTCCGCAAATGGACAGAAAGAAACCCGATTCAGTCTAAGCAAAGTGACAAGCCCTGGCGTGACAAGAATTTTAAAGTCCAACAGCAGACTGATGGCAGAAACCGGGGATGCGTTTATTGTGAAAACCATGATCACAAATCGGTTGACTGCAAAACGGTTGCAACTGTCGACGATCGCAGGAAAGTACTCAGCAACAAACGCCTCTGTTTCAACTGCACCGGAAGCAAACACAGAGCTGACGATTTCAAGAGCCGTTCCTTGTGCCAGATTTGTCACAGAAGGCACCACACCTCCATCTGCAACAGCAGAATCAGTAACCAGTTAATGACAACTACTTCAATGGAAAGACCAACTGTGATCTATCCGGTCGTCGTAGTGGAAGTGCTGGGAGTCAAGTGTCGTGCGTTGATAGACACCGGTGCCGGAAGCTCGTGCGCTTCAGCAACGTTACTTCATCGCTTAAAGATCCGTCCTCATCAACGAGAAGTACGACAGATTGAAATAATGATGGGAGTGGTTACTAAGCCTGTGGAAATTTTCAAGGTCCAGATAAGTTCCCTGAATGGCGATTTCCTCCTCGAAACGGACGTAACCATGGTAAACAGGAAACAGCTTTTATCCATGGAAAACCCTCCCTACCAGCAGGTCCTGAAAAGGTACGATCATTTCAAGAGAGTGAAAATGGACGATATGGACACAAAGGATTTCCTTCCAGTGCACCTTATCTTGGGGGTATGCGACTATACTAAGATAAAGACTGAAACCGCACCTCTTATCGGAGCCGCAAACGAGCCTATCGCCGAGAAAACGAGATTTGGATGGACCATTATTTCGCCAGGCAAAGAAGTGGATCTGTCTCCAATGTTCCTGACACAAACATCGACGGCAGATTACGACAACTTGTGCAGAATGGACGTACTTGGACTCGCGGATTGTGCAACTGGTGACCAAGACGAGGTATATTCAGAGTTCAAAGAGCAACTTAGACGAGGCGAAGAGGGTTGGTACGAAACTAGCCTTCCAAGGAAGGGGAACCACCCACCTCTGCCAAGCAACGAAGCAGGAAGTCTTCGCAGGTTACCTGGCCTCGTAAAGAAGCTACGCAGTCAAGGAATGATCGAGCGTTACGATCAAGTGATCCAAGACCAAATCAAGGCTGGGATCGTCGAGAGAGTTAGTAGACCTTCAACTGGGCAACACGAGTTTTACATTCCTCACAAGGCAGTGGTACGCGACACAGCCGAAACCACCAAGCTTCGAGTAGTTTATGACGCTTCAGCACGGGCCCACTCTGGTGCACCCTCGCTAAATGAATGTCTGAATCCTGGTCCACCTCTTCAGAACAAGCTCTGGAGTGTCCTAGTTCGTTCTCGATTTCATCCAGTTACAGTCGCAGGAGACATCAAGCAAGCTTTCCTCCAAGTCTGTATTAAAGAGCAAGACCGCGATGCGCTAAGATTTCATTTGTTGAAGGAACCAAGCAATCAAATTGTGGAAACGATGAGGTCTACTAGAGCCCTTTTTGGCCTCACATCGTCGCCCTTCCTGCTTGGAGGCGTAATTCAACACCTGTTGGAGAGTTGCAGACAAAACTACCCGAACATTGTCGGCGAGATCGAAAGAAGTTTATACCTAGACGACCTTATCAGCGGCGGCCCTACAAGTGAAAAGGCAAAAGAAATCAAATCAACTTCTCAGATTGTATTCACCAAGGGCACCTGCGAGTTGCATAAATGGCATTCGAACGTGAAAGAGCTGGAATGAGCCGCTTCCGAACCAGTCTCGATCGAGGAAGAAACGTACGCATAAGAGCAGTTAAATGTCCCCAGAAGAAAAGGAACTACCCTGCTTGGTTTGCCATGGGACAAGGAAAACGATACTGGCGGCGTGAGTTTTCCACAAGAGAAAGCTGATCCCAGCAAGCGGGAAATTTTAAGCTAAGTGGCAAGGATCTATGACCCACTGGGATTGGCCTCTCCTATATCATTGGGCGGAAAACTTCTCTACCGTGACGTGTCACTCCAAGCTGAACTGGGATGAAAGGCTACCAAGCAAGTTGATGCAGAGTTGGATCCGATGGGAGGGGCGACTTCCCGAGCAGCTGACAGTCCCGAGGTCTTTAGCAGCCTATCAAGAGGATATTCAGTCAATCGAGTTGCACGCCTTTGGTGATGCCAGTGGTAAGGGTGTAGCTGCGGCTGTGTATGCTGTAGTTGTTCAAGAATCAGGCGCCAATCAGGGGCTCGTGGCAGCAAAAGCGAGACTTTCCAAAAAGGGACTGACGATCCCTCGGCTAGAGTTTGTGTCTGGACATATGGCAGTGGATCTCTTGGCAAACGTGGCCTCAGCTCTGGAGGGATTTCCCCTAATAGAAAAGTACTGTTGGCTCGATAGCACCTTCTCGCTGCACTGCATCAGATCTCCAGGCACATATAAGCAGTTTGTGAGTAGCAGGGTTGAGAAAATACAAGCGCATTCGGAAATGACCTGGCGACACGTAGGGACTTCGGAGAACCCTGCTTACCTTGGAAGCCGTGGTGGAGATGTGACAAATAATCCCTCTTGGTGCAATGGACCGAAGTGGTTGTAAAACAAAGTGTGCTGGCCTCCAGATATTGTGACCAAGGCATCAGATGAATCAATGGTTGAGGTGAAAGCGACGCGAGATGTTTTTGCGGTGGCGATAGCAACTACAGACGAGCTAGGCACCCTCCTTGAGAAATCTACCTACTGGAGGACGATGAGAATCTGTGCGTGGATAATGCGGTTCGTCCACAACGTTCGTTGAAGGAAGACAGGAAGATTCAAGGCACTGGCACTGAAGAAACTAACAAAGTGATAATCTTTTGGGTGAAAAGAGTCCAGTCCTAAGCCGCAGCTGATAAATAATACCAAGAAGATCAGTTGCAACTGAATCTACAACCAACCCAAGACGGCGTTTTGGAATGTCGAGGTAGAATCCAAGGGCATTTCCCGATATATTTGCCCGATGATCACCCCTTCACAGAGAAGCTCGTAACACAAGTTCATCTCGGAACGCTCCACCAGGGAGTCGTCAGTACCATGGCAAAGGTCCGAGAGCTGTACTGGGTTCCGCGCCTTAGAAGATTGACCAAACGAATCGTGAAGAGTTGCCACGGCTGTCGGCGGTTTCAAGCCCAAGCATTTTTATCCCCACCCCAAGGAGACCTCCCAAGGGATCGGACGGAAGGTCGAACACCCTTTCAAGTCGTCGGCGTCGACCACGCGGGACCGTTGAAGTACCGTAAGAACGCGAAGACAGAGGGAAAGGCGTATGTGTTGCTGTACGCCTGTAGCCTGACGCGAGCTTTATTCTTGGATTTGCTGCCCAACTTGGAAACTAAAGAATTCCTGGCGAGTTTCAAGCACTTTATCGCCCGACGCGAGAGACCGCAAAAGGTGTATTCTGACAACGGAAGAACTTTCGTTGGTGCCGCCCAGTAGATTAAGCAGGTGATGCAAGATGAAAGGTTCCAGAATTTCCTCGCTCACCTAGGGATCAAGTGGCAGTTCAATTTTAGTCGTGCACCGTGGTGGGGAGGGCAATTCGAGAGAATGGTGGGACTCGCAAAAGGAGCTCTTTACAAGTGCATTGGAAACGGTCTACTGTCCTGGACTGAACTTAAAGAGGTACTGCTAGACATAGAAGTGGCACTAAACAACATACCACTCAGTTACGTGGATGACGATATTCAGCTACCATTCCCGACCCCGAGTTCCTTCCTGTTTGGTCAACCGAACATGCTACCAGAGTTAGAACCTCATCGCGTTCAGGAACATGACTTGAGGAAGAGAGCCAAGTATTCGAGGAAGTGCAAGGATACACTATGGTCACGCTAGACAAGAGAGTACCTCCGTGGACTTAGAGAGAGACACCGGCTGAAG